CTCCTTAAATTATTATACAAATCTACAAGTTTAATTGTCCTGAGTGCTTGTAAATGCTTACAAACGGAACAGATTTAATGAAAGAAATATGAGACCTGCTCATCATTATGCTTGCATTCCTAAAGAGCCAATAGTGGATTGACTTTTCCCTGAAAAATAAATCCATACAAAGCGAACCCTCAAAAACTTGTTTTGGCCAACATTACCAATCCTGTGGATTCTGGAGGCAAGCAAGCACACAGGCACTATAATATTCTCCATAAACTTCCTTGGCTAATAATGATTGAAGAGAAAGCACTAATTAACTTAGGGGTGGTGGTGGTGGTGGCATTGACATTTGTTGAATAGAGTGTGGTCCACCACTTAGTTGCTGTGGAGGTGGTGGTGGGCGCCAGACTGGAGCACCCATTCCCATAGGTGGTGGAGGGGGCCTATTCAGTGGTGGAGCCATGCCTCTAAACTGCTGCATTGGCTGCTGTGGAATTCCAACCATGCCTGGTTGTGCAGGCTGGCCCTGCCATGACTGTGGCGGAGGTATTTGCATTCGTGCGTACATATTAGGCTGCATGGAAGGTGGGCGCATTGCCGGAATGGGGGATGGAGGAACATGGCTATTTGCAAAAGGCCGTGGGGGAAGTGGAGCTGCAGTTGTACCATTGGCTTGTACCAGAGGGGGAAGCGTTGGAGGTCCACTTGCAAAGAGTGTATGGGGCCTGTTCTTCTGAGTAGTTGGATTACTTGCAGCTAATACCCTCTCTACTCAAATCACAAAGTGGAAAAAGAATTAATGGATACAAAACCATTCAATTTTGGAAGGGATCATATGGATTTTGATTATGCTCATGCACACCATTCTGATTTGTAATTAAATGCTAACCTGCAGGTGTGCCATGACGCTCGCCCTTTGTATCTTTCTTATAGGCATAAGAGACTGTAATCTGACGGTTACAGAGGGGTATTGCCCATTCATCGCCTACAGAAGCAATGTATGACACAATGGTTGATCAGTAAATATGAAACTGAGATAGCAAGGAGGGGCTAGAGAGTGGTAGATTCAGAACATCTGAATAAACTCTTACCCAAGCATATAATATTATAATGAAAATCCAAAACATACAATATTATGGGAGGAAAAGAATTCTTCTCTTCTGGCAAGAACTGTCAAAAGTAAACTAGTCATTGTAAATATTATTGGTTAAGGGGAAGCAGATATTCTGCAATAGGTTTATCTAATCCAGGAACATCATTGAGTTCCAACAAATATCAATTTCCTAGAAGTCCACTCTCCATAGACATGCTATAAAAATGTCACAAGTAAGAAGAAGAGACTTCAATTTAGCAAAGGAGGAGACTAGGGATGCCACAATGAAGAACAGAAAATGTCAAATTATGGGAGGGCATTTTGACTTAAAATTTAGGTTTTGTATTGCAGGATTAAGTTTTTAAGTAGGCCTTTTAAATGATATGATCAGTATTCCACCATGAGAAATCAGTTACCTCAATGGCTGCATCAGAAGCCTCAAATGAATCATAGCTAATAAAACCAAAACCACGGGAATTTCCAGTCTCAGGATCTCTCATTATCTGCAGAAGTGACTAGATGTTAGAAACCAACTAGAAAAGGCATCTCAGAAAAAATATATATATATATTGAGAGAGAGAGAACTATATTGCCTATCATATTTCACACTTCAAAAGCGTTCCATCTCTTGTTTAAATTGAAAAAGAACCTGTCTCCACCGAGTTCTTACAACTGCTAAATCTGCCACTTGTCCTAAGCTATCATATTTTCTATTTTTCTTTGATACAAAATAAGTCTCAGTTTTAAAAAAAAAAAAAAAAAAAAGTCTCAATCTAGCTTTTCATCTCCTATAGTCCCACCTCCAAAGTAGATTCACTTCTAATTGGGGCATCTATATGACTATATATCTACTTTGATTCCAAAACCATCTCTAAAATAATAAGCAAAACTTGGAACTTATGTAAATAATAAAGAGGGAAATGACCTTTGGATTTGAAACTATTACTCCAAAAGCACTGAATGTATCATACAGAAGTTTCTCATCTACATCCTGCAGCAGAAAAACGGTGGTACTTGCACACTTCAGTATAGAGGACATGCATATAAAAGTGTCTCAACTATTAATGTATGTTTGTATGAAAGCTTGAACTCCTAGATGCATACATATCTTCAGGGTAGATAAAGAAGTAGGTAATGTCAAGCTGCTTACAGGATCAAGGTTCCCAACGAAAAGGTTAGCACCAACATCGACACTCTTTTTATCTTGTGATGCCTGGAAAGAATGGAAAAAGATAATAAAGGCAGACAATCAATTATAAAAGAGATAATTGATTAACAACTATAAGAACAGATTACATTATAGAAAAATTGATATAAGGCAGGGAAATTTGCACCTTATTCACTCGTATCGGTTTCCCATAAAGTTTAATCATATTCAGCACCTTTATTGCCTGGATTATTCAACCAAGGAATGGAATCACTGAAATTATATTAGATTAATGATACATAAATTCCAAACAAATATGCTAAGAGCAGCTTGATGCAGGCAATACTTACATAGTCAGCATCTTCTTCACTTCGGAACTCCACAAAGCCATATCCTTGATGAGAATTAGTGACTCTATCCTTGGGGACATATACATTAACTGCAGCCAATATATCAACCGTGTTAATGGAATGCAATTGATGATGCAAATAAAAAAGTTAAAAACATACTAAAATGCATGTTTTACTATTGCCTGTGTGTTTTCGTTAAGGGGGGATTTGGTTTGCAAATCTAGATACTTAAAAATTCAAGCATACCAACTGGACCAGCTTGAACAAACAGCTCCCATAATAATTCTTCCGAAACCTACAAGCAGAGAAAACAATATTAATTGTCTTAAGCGGCGTTTGAACTGAAATCGTTGAAGGGAATACGAAATGAGAGAAAGAAAAAATTTTAAGATATTCAAATTGTGCTTTTTTCTTTGAGAGTGAAATCATGTGAAGATTAGTGGTCATTGACAAGTTTTAGAAAGATCCTAACATTATCTTAAACCAGCCTGGCATTTTTGTTTTCTTATATAGTTGAACTTTTTTGAAATCCTGAAGAGATCATGTCATTATCTTAAAGCACATTAATAATGCAAATTTGCAAGTTGCCATTGATAAACATATGCACACTTCAGAGTGATTCACCATTTTTTTTTCTACTAACACACGTCCATATTGAAACTAAAATTATTCCTAGCAGCCAAGTGAGAAAGGAATGTGAGCATAGTCTATATTTTTCTCCAATCTCCAGTAAACCTAAAAATTAAAATTGCAACTCTTAACCAAGATTGGCAACTGACCACCTCCATCATCATCACATGTAAATTTTATTCATACTTAAGCCTTCACATTTTTCACAGAAAATGCTCAACTGCTCATACAAAATCAAATATAGCGCTCCACCACGCGAAGCTTTCGAAAACGTGATTTGACAGGTCAGGATTTTGTGTCTTAACAAAAATAACAATTTCAATAATCTATATCACAGCAAGTATTTGAGTTATAGTATTATCAATGAATTGAAGAGCATAAGAAACATGCGAACCTTAAGGTAGGATATGGTTCTATAGTAGTAACATTTTGATAGCCAATACTCCGTGCGCGGAAGAGGGCTAGGAAAAGAATAGCCCTATTATTAGGAAGGGAAAAAGGAAACCTGAGGATCGAGGTTGCCGACGTAGGCGGTGGCGTCTTGGTTGCGCTCGGCGGAATGTTGGCCGAGAAGATTTGCCCCGACGCCTGGAGCAATACGAGTCGTCATGAATGGCCGGGCTCTGAGTTTCTTAAGCTCTCTTCAGCTGGCAGTTATTCGCTGGAGAACCGACTTAGGACTTAGGAGGCTGCATTTATACTCTCCGTACTATTTATTACGCACAAATTTTAGTGAGTATTTTTCTTTAAAAACATTATTTATTTTTTGGCAAATTATTCACTTCTCCTAAAATTAAAATAACTTGTATTCATGAGTCTATGCATTATAATTTCTTATTTTCTTTTCAAAACATCACGTACTTTTATCAAAATAGTCAAATGAATGGAACATATTTCTCCTATTAGGTCATGTTGAGCGGCTTAATTTCAATATCCAAAGTCACTTTCAGTTGAACCTAGGATTTCCTAATTTAACACATCCACCATAAATATGTAATAACTACATATTTCTCTCATCAAAAAAAATAAATGTAAATTATAACTAAATGTTACAATTCCACAATTCCAATTTAGTAGACTTTTGATAAATTATTTTCACACATATTTTGCTTTGTACCCTTTAAAAAAAGGTTAATTTCAATATAGGTCAATTATTACACTAATTTTTTAAATTTAAAATTGAACGGATTTGGTCTAGTCAACTTTGAATTAACTTAGAGGGTGTGTGAAAATGAGGAAAATAACTTTTGAAAAATAAATCATTTTCTAAAAAATAGTCTCATTTTCCAGAGTAGTGCTCTGGTTTCTTGGTTTCCCGCCGGAAGCCAAAGCTTTCCAATTGTGAGGTCGGTGGAAAATGAAGTCATTTTCCTCCAAAATGGTCATATTTTCCAGAGTTAACGGAAAATTTTCCAAAAATCAATTTCATTATCCGGGTTCCCAAAACACACCTTAAAGAATCAAAAGTAAAAACAGCAATAATCAAAATATATGTATATTACATTATTATAACCTAATGATTGCATGGATATTATAGTACTCCGTATTTATTTATACCCAGCACTCCAAGACCATATACTACTAGGAAGCCACATCTGCATAATAGACCAGAACTGAATCAGATGCTGCTAACTTCTCATTTGACATCCAAAACAGAACAGGGACAAAATTACCAGTATGCTAGACAATCTAATATCATGGCTTATTGAAACAAACAAGAATTTACAGTAGCACCAGAGAGGATTAAAGGTGTACTCAATTCATAGGCAGAGCAGCACAGACAGAAAACATATTATGCAACAGTAAAACACTGAATTTGATGAAGATAAAAAGTATCAAGACATTATTAGACAAATAGTTACAAAGGAGAAAGCAACATTTGGAACAAAGAAAGACTAAACCCAACAAAACTTAATTCAGAGCTCAATAGCAGCTTTCAGTCAAAGAGACAAGTACATATCACTGGCAGAGTCTAGCTGCAAAATTATACCAAAGATTCAATCTTGGGAGATAGTTTGAAACCAAAGATTCAATCTTGGGACATCACTAAAATATTGTGTATGAAATGTTTGTGCTACTTAAATTACCAAGCCAAAACAAACCATCCTTCATTACTCAGTCACGGGCCGTTTCATCGTTTGTCAAGCCAAGCTCCTCCTCAAGTTTGGTCCAAGCCTTCAACACATTAGGAGGAAACTTACTCTTCACTATTGAAATCACGGATTTTGCCTCTCTTGTCTTTGATAGTGTTACGAACCCGCGAACGAGATGCTTCAGAGTATTAAAATCTGGGATCTTGTTCATTGCCACACTCTTGTTAAACACCTTATACCCTGTATCAAACTGTCCCTGCTGACAAGCATAGTATATCAAAGTCCTAAAAGTTGTGGCATTAGGCTTACAAAAATTAGCCTCCAGGCTGTTATAAACCTGCTCAGCTTCATCCATCATCCCATTCCTACAGTAACAAGTCATCAAGTAATTGTAGCTAATGATATCAGGTTTTAGCCCTGCATTACTCATTTCGTCGATCAAACCCTTGACGCCATCAGGGCTCCCACCTTGAATGTTCATAATCCTTACGTTATAGGCTCCAACATCGAGTTCACACCCTGATTTTACCATCTCATCCCAGACCTTCTCAGCTTCATCACTCATCCCTTTCTTATACAATGAATTCATAATTGTGGTATAAGGAACAGCAGTAATTTGCATACCCTTCCCCTCCATCTCCTTCAGTTTCTCCATGGCCAATTTAGGCGTTCCAACTTCACAATAAGACCTAATCAGTATACCAAACGAAACCCTATCCGGCGAGACCCTATACTTGTTAGGAATTTCTTCAAACAGCTGGGGAACACGATCGTACAACTTCGAATGAATGCATGCGGAGAGGAGGGCGTTGAAGGAAACAGAGGATCTAGGAGTGCCTAAATCGGTCATTTGCTCGTATGTTCTGAGCGCGTTGTCGAACATTCCAACGATGCCATAAGAGCGGATGATAGTGGCAAGAAATGGCTCCTGACTGACTTTAGGATCTTTCTTGTGAGACTCTAAGAAGGCTTCAATGTCGGAGAAGCGGTGCGACTTGGCAAGACGCTTGACGGTATACTCCTGCGCATATCGAGAGGAGAGCGGGGAGGAGTAGTGGCCAGACACGGAGGAGTAGATCTCCAACGCTTTGTCAGGGTCATGCTCCGATCGGAGAACTGACTTCGCTTTGGATATGGATATGGCGGCGGCGGATGTGGAAGCGGCGGCCGCCGAGGCCGTTGCGAGGTGGCGAGCTTGTCGCAAGGCGAAAGAAGACATTTTTTTTTCTAATGATCTAGGGCTTAAGGGTGACTGCCTACTGAAAAAGAGAAGTGAGATAGGGTTTTACCAGACGCTGTCACATAAACTTGCCAAAAAAGATGACCATCTATTATTATTATTATTTTTTTTTTGAAAAGATTATTATAATTATTATTTGATTATTTGATATTAGGTTTCCCTAAAAGAGGTGGTAAACTGTTACAGACTACACTGTTGAGCATATAGTTATTAATGTGCAATTCAGCTATTAGTTTAGACTTGCACATGCTTCAATTTGGTATTAGAACTATGATAAAGGTCATAAGTTCGAATCTCAGCGACCTACGGTCCACGTGTTGAGCATATAGCCATTGGGACACTTGATCAGCTCTGAAACAATAATTATTATTATAAAAGTTCTCTATCTTTGCAATAATTGATGTTTACTAACTCAATTTTTTTTCATTTCTTTTGAACAAATAAAATATTAAAAAAATGAAATAAACAATCCACCAGCACTAGAAGATTATGTTTTATTTTCGATTCATGTTTTAATGATTCATTAGAAGTATTTAGCACATATATCCTCATCCCTATCAAACTAATTCGAATTTGACCCAAGCTATTCAGGATTCAGGAATAATAGGTAACTTCATTTTTGTGAGCATTGATAAATGCACAAGGTTCAATCTTCAAAGCAAACAACAAAAATGGGTTTTTTATAAATAAACAAAAAAATAATAATAATAAAACCTGTCACTAGATTCACTATGATTTTTCATGTTGAGTGCCAAACTATGAATTTCAGGCCTTGAGCTATTAGAAGTTGTCCAAATTTGATCCCCGAGTTCATCTTGACCTTTCCGATGCAGCAAATAGTTCCCGAAGGTAATATCGGCAAAGCACCCGACATGGCAATGGCATCCATTATATCATAGCTGACATCTCAACATGTTATACAAGGTTGAAGAATGATCTTTGGAACTATGGAGTTCCTGGAATTTAATGCAAAAATATGCTCCAACAGTTGATAGGCGCTCTGAAAGTGCTATTTTGGACTTCCATCACCGCGTTTCAGAACCCAACCCGAACTTTGTGATACGCATAGCTCCGATACAACCTGCAAAACACATATAAGACATTCCATCAGGTCACTGAATCTTCATAGAATTTTGCAGCAAGAGCACAAAATTTGGGAAATATTTCTGCAAAAGCCAAGACAATTGATAGAATGGCAGTTAACAGAAGGCGAGTTTCAAAAACCATATATTTAATTCTGCAACTATAAGCCAAGTGAACATTAAATTGTCAAAAAGGTACACTTTCATCCTTTTCTATTTCTGGAATTGTTGATCTCTCACCTTCTGAAACTCCGTGTCTGTAATATCCTTGTTAAGTTGCAACCTAGCAGCCTCAATAACTGAAGCCCTTTTAAGCTTTGCATTAGGACCTTCTGCAATTAAAAGAGCAATCACCACCTTCCTGAAAAGCAAAATTCACATAACATTAATGCCTAGATATTACCAATTAATTGTTGAGGTTGAGAAGGTTGTGAAATTGTGAACAACCTTAATGCATCATACTGCGGAAAATCGGGTGATGACTTCAAAACATAGACACCATGTATATTTACAGCAACCTGATTTATAATTGCCTGAAGCTCCTCTGGAGGAGCATCAACACCCATTGCTGCAGCGGTTGCTTCTCTGGCATTTCCCTTTGGTCGAGCAGACTCAGAAACCGCCATTTCCCTCAAACGTTGGCAGATTTGTTGAAAACTGGTAACATATGAATCATAATTTAATGAGCCGTAAATTTATAAACAGAACAAAGATCTCAAGTATCAAGACATCAGGAACAAGACAGAACCTGACACCCTTTTCTTGATGGAGGGGTGGGGGCTAACTTGCCTAAAAGAAAACTTATTTTATATTTAATACTTAAACAGTAATAACTTATTTTAGAAAAAAAAAAAAATACCAAATACTTAAAAATTATAAGTATGGATTGATGAGGATCCAGGGCATCCTGTGGCCTGAATGAGGCATCATCACTGAAGTAATTAAGAAATATTCAGTATGTGATATGCATAACAAAAATTATGCAGAAAAATTCCTCTATCCCATCTCTGAACATGATGAGCACATGCAAGCATAGTAGGATAGGAATAGATTGTATGATGGCTGGCTATCTGTTTCAAACATGTAGCTAAAATTATTAAAAATGAGGAAGTTTAAAAGATCAGTTTGAGATAGCTCACCTGCAAACCTTGTGAACCTTAAAAAGTTTCAGGAGGGCCTTCGGTAAAGCCTCTCGAGTTTCTTCTGACATTGGTGTCCTTGACTGACTTCCATTCGTAGTTCTTGGCCCTTGCTTATCAGGAATTGTTGATGCTGGTGATTTTTTTGTAAGAGTATTCTCTGAAGAATGTTTTACCTGACGCTTACTGCTTCCTTTGGAAATAATATCAAGCATGCTTCTTTCCAGAAGTTCCCATTTCTCAGCTTGCTCCTTCACAATGTTGGGAAATTCTTTTAAAAATTTAGTGTCAGGCTTCTCTTTAAGCTTCCAATCATTGAGGATTGGTCTCTCGACAGCTAGTACATTTAATACTTCTTTCATCGCTTTATCAAGGGCAACCGCTTTGTCTTTAAACACTGAATTTTTTATCGAAGGTGCTTTGCTAAACAATGATAGAACATAGTCCCTTGCTACAAGTTCTACAGGTTTGTCTTTTTTACATACTAAAGAACTTTTTGGAATCCAAAGCCCTTGAACTAATACGGCATGTTTTTGGAGGACTGTCAAAATTTCTTCTGCTGATTCTTCAGGGGCCAGGTGCTTCAAAGTATCGAAACGATGAATAGGTGGTCCCTGTGACCAAACATCACAAATCAGCCACAAGAATACCACAAGGAAAAATATCAAACAGCCTGAGTTGCAAAACAAAATCGAATGCAACTTATGAAACAGGGAAAAATCACATAATCACATGCTGATGACTACAATCAATGCTCAAGTTGTTTTAAAAAAAAAAAAAAAAAAAGGGGTGCAGGAACAATGACTCTAACTCCCTCAGTGTGAACTACAGCTTTGATTTGCATTGATTAGAAGCCAATACAGGCATATGCCACACATAGAGAAACTTTTTAATAGAATTCAGACTTCTAGGCAAAGTCTACATTTCCCATACAGATACCATGGCATAAGAAAATAGAAACTCATTTTACGAGTAATTCTTAATAGAATAAGGTATAGCCGAATATAACTACTTGACTAATTAATTCAAAAGGCCAGGCATTTATTGCATTCAGTTTCCAAGGTGAATGCTACACGGAGAAATGATTGCTTCGAGTAAAGGAAATTATAGTTAAGAAAGAGGGTACAAACCTCAGTAAGCCAAGTTTTGAAACGTTCTTCCAGTGGATGCAAAATCAAAGACCTGAAGAAGCACCCAATTGTTAAATAACTTCAAACCTCCAATTCTCCAAACATATACCACATAATTCTTCAGTTTTTCATCAGTAATAATCATCATATTATTTGCAGAGTATAACATATTTGTGGTAGTCAATGCAATTTTTAAAACGTAATAATTATGACCTAAAATGGGCTTTGAAGGTGAAAAAGTAGATAGCCAACAAATCAAAAACAGCCAAACACAGTGTCCATAATGTATATGGCATCCATAAAAGTTTATTTCTTGTTGCCCTAATATAATACTCTACATCATAAAGTATGATACTAGTAAGAATACTAAGTTGTTCTGACTTCTGACAGAAATTATATGACAAAGTGTAAGATTACCTAAAAGAATTAACCACTAAATTTTCCACAGCACTATGTAGGCATTATATCTGTTTAGACAATGTACCCCAGCCACATTTAGAAAAGAAAAACAGAATACAATAGATATAAATATCATTCAATCAAAGAGAAGAGCTCTAACTGAGACAATGTGATGAAATCATATTCCCATGCAAATAAGGTTTTTACCTTATTAAAGCCGTTGGAACAATCTGAAAGTGCCAAATAATTAGTAAGAACAAAGAACTCAGTTCAGCAGGATTACCTTATTGGGGGGGCTTTCACTTTATCACTTTCAGTCAATGCACCAGGACACAAGACATTCACATAGTCGTCCCTTTCAGAGGAAAAAAGAATTGAAATCAATGGACATATATCATTGAATGAAGAAGACTTGGGAGGAGGGGATACTGAATTGCAGCATATGAAATAATAAGGGCATTAAAAATAAGAATGTGAACCAGCATTAAAGAAATACACACGGGCTCATGGAAAACTGTACTGGGGAACCTTCAGCCTCGACCATTTTTTTAAAACATCTGGATGAAACGTCACTCTGTGCACCATGGTATTTGAGGCACACCCACGACTGGGAATTCAATAAAGAAAAAGGAAGATAACATAAATGATCACTAGCCATGAAAGAGAAACACCATAATTTTTTGCATGTTTAACCGATCATCCTTGTAGACATAATGAACATATATGGCCTCTTTGAGAAATCACTATGAACAAGTATGATAAGGCCATTTCCATACCAGTAGATACTGTATGGACTGTATAAAAACACTTCTAAAAAAATATTTTCCAATTGAATCATATAATAACTTTCAGCAAAAAGTGGATGAGATTGTGAAAAGGCATATCGCATATTACTAGATGCTTTTATTTTGTACCTCTTCATTATCCTTGTCTTGCAATTTTTCCATTGGCTTGTTCTGCACAAGTATGTAATTTAGAAAATAACAAATTAAAATAGGATCGATCATGCCAAATAATTTGGCAGGCAAGAGCTTGAAAAGCAAGAGCATTAATATAAATTCAAATAATGCATTTATCAATTTAAGTTGCCAACTATTGAAAATGTACATTAGCAAATAAATAGGTACCACAGAGTACTTGACTAAACCTACCTGAAGCCATTATTCACAAAATCAATAACCAAAATCCCCTACATGATTATTTAAAAATGCTCTTTGACAAGCATTTGCCGCACCATGTTGTGTAAACCAAAACCCTATATTAATAGATAGGAAAATAGTCCAGCCAATTCCCAAAAAATATAAATTTGTATAAAATTAGAACTAGTAAGTAATCCCAACACGGCAGCACTGAAAATACTCATAGAAGCAAAAAAGAAAAATATCCTTGATCATGAGCCATATAATTATCACTACAAATAAGAACCATAACTCCAACAGCAGTGATTAATATTGACATAATAGAAGTCAGTGGGTCAATCAAGTAACAGAACTTAAAAGAAAAATCATTATTGATTATCAAAGACCATATATATTGATAGATAGAATCCCTATTATTAGCTGAATTGATAGATTGATTGAAATATACTTAACAATAAAACCCTTTGAAAGGACCACATACGACGAAGATTTTTTGTTATTGTGGGAAAAAGAATAAATCCTACTCCTACAAGGCTACAATTAATAGATAGAAAGTAAATCAAACTAGGGAACTGGGTACTCACCTGCTTCTTAGATAGAACTGGAGGCTTTTGTTCCTTAGCTTCTTCTATTTTAACTGGATTTTCAGCAGTGCTAGTTTGAATATTTGTCTTTTTAGGTCCACCAGGGTTCTGATGTTCCATTGATGGTCGGAGCTGCACAACTGCATGAATGGGATTGAGGTGCAACTGCATGACAAAAAGAACTCTGTTTTACAATGCATACCAGTGAACAAATTACAATGTTTGGGCAACAACCACCCAAAAAAAAAAAAAAAAAAAAAAAAAAAACAATAAAAACTAAAGATTATTTTAATGAAATAAGCATCTTTTTCATTAACTTCTCATATTTGTAAGCTGCAAAACACTATAATAAAGTTGTTGACCAAAACTGGAGTACTTGACATTCCCTTTCATTCACACTATGAAAAATGAAGCACATTAAGCTGCATTCACACAATCGTACACAGCCCAAGAGGCCTCAATGGAAGATTGGAAGATGGTATATTCTTTCCAGCTGAAGATATAACCCAAAGTAAGACACTAAGACAGCAGTAACTCTAAAACATCTCGTATCTACTTCATATATTTTAGCTTCTAGTGTTCTTTCAATTTGTGTGTAGCATCCTCTCAGAATCTGCACTTGTAACACACTTCACCTTCTTAGTATGTTGCACTATTTTTTATTTTATATTCTTTTATTTTGTGCATATGGCATGGGGAACAAATTTTCAGACTATTACCACAAACCTCACTACATTCATTGCATACCAAATCACTACCTGCACCAGAAAGTTAATCCAAAGAATGTTAAAATTTGATTGCTCAATTCATCTTTTTTAATAGTATTAGACCTTGCCCAATTCTGCTTTCTTATTAGGAATAGGCCTCTAATTTCATCTTTCAAAACCCCTTGTAATACCTCTAAGAACACAAACACGTTCCATTCTACACTTGTAGGTGCCACTTATCTCGAGGAAAAAAAAAAAAAAAAGATAATCACATAAATGCCAAGTCAATGGGGCGGAAAAAAAAAAAAACAAAAAGTAAAGGTAGAGGAGGGGACTTATAAGTTTGACCTCAACAGCAATTAAACTCACTCCATATAAATCTGAATACTCAAGCTAAAGAGTATACCTTATTGCCAACCAGGACCCCAACAGCATATCCAGTTGCGAGAGGAGTTGGTTTCCATTTAGTTAAAAGACTCTAAAAAGAACACAAACAATTAGATGCCAAAAGGATGAACTAAAAGCAGAATTTTCAAAGACCACGAACAAATATATTGCAGTTCTTTTTCATAGAAAACCAAAACATATGCATAACTTGACCAAAAAGAGTTCAATCACTCTTAGGCTCTGTTACAGTGGAATTGCAGCACCTGGTATTGAAACGAAATTTGGAAAGGATCGGACAATGGAATTCATATTATTTAATCATAGTTATTTTTATCCAAAAAAAAAAAAGATGTTCTGATCCGCCATCCATGAAACCACTATTCCTTCCATGTAGTGAAAGGAACAAATAAGTATGAAACGTAAATGGGGATTCCCAAGGAATCAAACATATTTGCTCAAGCATACCAAATGGAGCTGAAGTCCTAACTGAAATGGAATAAACTCAATGTCAAACCTGCTTTGTCATAGGATGATCAGCATTTCTGTCATAATTCTTGGAATCAACATCAATACTCAGGTCAACTTCAACCTCTGAACTTGCAGGCTTCACCCTCACCTGCAAATCACCATCCCGACCAATCCATTTATTTCCTCCCCAAACACGATTATGAAGAATAACATGGGATTTCTTATAAACCAGGAAATTAGACTAACTAACATCTGTTACTCACCTCTTCACACCTTTCCTCCATTTCATATGGTCGCCATATTGGTCTTAAAGGATACTGCATTACATATAGCTAACCACACACAAACCAGATTTTAATAAATAATTTCAGAGTTAGCCTGAAAACACACAAAGATTAAAAATTTAAACCCTTGCCTTGGTGTCTTGATCAATGGAGGGAGTAAGATAAACGTCAATCTCTCGAACAACTTCGTCTTCCCCGCCTTCAGTGTCCATTGGCTCGTTATCCAGCACTTCATTGTCTCCGTTTTCAGGCTTGGTGTCCACGTCCATCAGTGCGACGTCGTTGGCACTCCGTTCATCTTCTTCTTCAGGCTTGGACTCCGGGATGTTATTGATTATCACGGGCTTGGAATCTAATTCTTCCTTTTTAGCCACAGGAATGGGATTGGGTTCCGGCAACACAGAATCAGAAGTAGATACCGGTTCCGTCTTCAGTTTGGAGGGTTGCGGTTTAGCTCTTGAACCCTTCGGCGCAAACCGCCCTGGTCGAGCTTGAGCCTTGGTCGGAACAGCATCAAGGTCCTCTAAATCCAAATCCGCCATCACTCTAGTCGAAGAAGATCCCTATCCAGTAGTTTGAAGCTCGGAAGTGAATGAAAATTCGTCTTGCCGTAAAAAAAAACCTCTTCAATCAGGGTTTTAGTTCGCGCTCTGCATCTCCGCAATATTTATAACAAAGTTAACTTCAAAATCACATTATAATTTAAGAAGCTTGTATTATCACATACTCCGCAATAATTTACATAATTTTTATTTATTTTAAATAAGTCGGTAAATCTAGGTTATAATATACGGAGTAATAAACCCTGCAACATTCACAGCCAAACCTCATGTCTTTATAGATTACAAACCTAATTAGCATCTAATACTATCTAACAATTTGTTTATTATATTTCATTCGTCCCACGAGTATTATATATTCATACAACTTTTATTTTTAATTTATCTTTCAAGTCACACTTTTGTGAGACATTCTCATATATCTTTTATCTGTGAGAACGGTTGTTATATCATGGACCATGGTCCGAAAATGGCAGCTGTTAAATTTTAACAAAATCCCGTATTTTTGTGTGTTTATAACAAAATAAACTACAGTGTATTTAAAATAAAATTGAATAACTTGTCTCGCATATTGTGTTTATATTATCAAATAAAACTGTAATCGAATTAAAATGATACTTTAGTTGTGTTGAAATGAAATTGCAGTATGCATAAAATGAAACTGAATATATATATATATATATATATATATATATATATATATATATATATCACATATTGAGTGCATATTGTCAAATAGAACTATAGTTGAATTGGAAAGATACTTTAATTCTGTTGAAATGAAATTACAATATGTATAAAAATAAACTAAAAAACATGTCTCACATGTTGAGTGTATATTGTCAAATGAAACTGTAGTTATATCAAAATGATACTTTAGTTGTGTTATAATGAAACTATAGTGTATATAAAATGAAACTAAATAATAGTTTCGAATATTTGAGTGTATATTGTCTAATGAAATCGTAGTTGAATTATAATTATAATTTAGTGGTGTTGTAATAAGACTACAATGTGTATAAAATGAAATTCAATAAAATGGAACGAGTGCTGTTTATTTTCATTAAAAGAAACGACACATTTTTGAACCATGGTCAACACATCTGTGTGGACTATGGTCCACAGTAAAATTTGCCTCTGTGATACGGGTTAGGTCGGGTCAAACCAATATACAAATGTAATACTTATACTAGCAAATACAATATTAAATCATTAATAAAGTGTTTGTTACTATTGATGTAAAAGTATTATATTTTTTCTTATAAGTAATTCTCTCAAAAGTATTATGTTTTTCCTTCTGAGTAAAAAATACTTTATTCATAATTAGTATTGCATTTGCTAGTATAAGTATTACATTTCATCTTAATCTGATCCGTCTCATAGACAAGGATCCGTGAGACTGTCTCACACACGTTTTGCCTTCATAGATTCATTATATATATATATATATATATATAGAGAGAGAGAGAGAGAGAGAGATTTTGGTTCCTATGAGGTCAGGTCTTCCCGTGCGGTCAGTGCGGCATACACCATTAGGTATGCATAAATGCACCATACAGTGTTCGAAAATACACCAGAATGAAATGCCAAAAAATACACTACAAAAAAAAAATAAAAATACACCACACATAATGGTGTATTTACGAACACTGTGTGGTGCATTTAATCATACCTAATGGTGTATGCCGCACTGTCCGTACGGAAAGACTTGACCTCACAGGAACCTGACCCTATATATATATATATATATATATATATATATATATATATATATATATATATATATATATATATATATATATATTAGATGTAACAAGAATGCTATTTTGTGTAACAAAACACAAGAGTTCGTTTGAAAAGTAAGAAAATATCTTCTAGAAAATGAGCCATTTTCTAGAAAGCATTTTCATTTCTAGTGATTGATTCCATTATGTTAAATATTTAAAATATACAATGATGGTGGTGGTGGTGGTGGTGGTGGCGGCGGCGGCGGCGGGCGATTGACCACTCCACTGCTGCAAACAGAAAATGACTTCCCCCATCCAATCCCCCCTCCCCCCCCCCCCCCTCCATGGGAAGTTATTTTTCAGAAAATCTCTTATATTTTTCGTTGACCACACCCCGATTTTCCTTTGACTTTCATTTCCATCCTCTAACCAAACATTGGAAACTTGGAAAATGATTTACAGAAATCATTTATGGTTTCCAAACGCATCCTAAATGTTGTTTTATTTATAAGAAATGATAATTTTCTTTGAGAAATTCAAATTTATGAAGTGTTATACATTTTAAAGATAAAAAAAAATACTACATTAATGAAGAATTATTATAAATTTTAAGGGTAAGAGGAGTAGATGTTAGATGTGGTTGTGTCTCAACTCCATATAATCATGTTCTCCACATAATCCATGTTTTTTACCAGAGTTTGCGCAAATTTCGAGCATGAAGCCTTCTCCATCATCCATCATCAGCACATGAGGCGAAAAATTCTCATCTAAACATATATAAATTGGTCTAAGATTATGCTACACACTCATAAACCACCACTCCACAATGTGCCACAATCCTAAACATTAATATAATTAAGAAAAAAAAATGAGTACTATTGACTCTATTACAATGTAGTATCTATCTATATATACTTTCTCAACCTATTAAAGCACAAAGAGTCAAAATCCCATTAGAGTTTGAACTTGTGACATCCTATTTGGAAGAGCCATAGTTATGTCGCTCGACCACAAGGTCTTTGGCATAGAATGAAAATTAAAATTGAAAAAATTATAATGGTTATATGAAAGACAAGAATGCTTTCTAATTTTCTTTAGTCGGAAACCCAAAATGCGACGATTGCGGCTCAGCGCACGACGGAGGATCAAGATCAACTCGAACGAAGCACGAAGAAATCCAAAACGTTGAGTGATCAATTGAAAGGATTCATTGGGAAAGGAATCGAGGAGCAGGAAGTGACAGGGTCTGTTGACGAGGTTTAGGGAGACAACCGATCATACAAGGAATCCTTAGCGGGGCCATAGGAGCAGGGGAGAAGGGTGATGACGACGTGTTGGATGACGATGATGGAGATGCTAAGGATGACCTGAGTGTCCTGAAATAGCTCTTACAAGGGAGGAGAAGATTATGCTGATGAGGCCATGTAGGCTCTCGGTCATTGTGCAGGTCTAGAACGGTTTTGTTGAGACGTATTCAGGCTTTGTGGCATCCAAAGGCTAAGATTGAACTTGTGGCCATCCATAAATGATGAGTATTATCTGGTGAAGTTCTGGTATGCTGATGATTACGAATTTTCTAAGTATGGAGGCGCATAGACTGTGCTCGACCATTACCTTATTGTTTAGGATTGGAGGACAGACTTTGATCCTAGTTCGGATATATTTGAGCAAGTAATTGTTTGGGTGAGATTTCCAAACCTCCTGGTCGAGTACTATGGCTACACTTTTTTATGCGGATTGGAGAAAAGATAGGGGATCCAAAGCACATTGATCAAGCAACTAGTTTGGTTTCGAGGGGACGATTTGCGCGAATGTGTGTCTAATTTGATATTATTAAGCCACTGCTATACAAATTCAAACTTCGCCAGAAGTTTAGACGTATTGAATATGAATGATTCCACCTTGTTTGTTTTAAATACGGAAAGTACGGCCATTCATAATAGAACTGTAAGAAGGCAGCTGAGGAGAACCATGCGGGGGAGAAGACGTAGGGTGACGCGTCGGCAAATGGTGCGTGCAATGACGAAAGAGAGCTATTGGAGATTCGCTGCTCGGAAAGGTGTCAATGTCTTGTCTCACCCTTGGCTACGAAGGGTTTGTGTTCATACAAGTGTTATCACTTGCGAGGGATGAGTGCGATGGTAGCGGTGTCCACCAATATTTTAAAGAGGCCTGAATAGTGGAGTTGGAAATCTTAAGGGAGGTTCCCTTATGTAGTGGAGTAGGCTCGGTCAAACCACTCAAAATTTGATGTTCTTCATTCCTTACTCTATACCTGCATTTCAAGTACATTTAATTTTATATATTTACTTGATCATCTAGAATTGCATCAAATATAATCGATCACTTAGGATAATCAGCACAAATATTTTATAACCTAATTCACCCCCACCCCACCCCCCTCTTAGGCTAAATCGGACTTTTAGAATTAAAATTATAAAATTAACTAAATGTGTGTTCATAAATATTTAGAATTTTTCTTAAATACATACATATACTTATCACTATATTAATCATATAAAATTAAAATACTAATTTTACTAATTTCTAATTGTAATTATTTTTATTATAAACCTAGCAATCTAAATTATGATTATGGAAATTATATTATAGAATGTGCATATAAAATTTATTATACCAACATATAAGAAAATGCGTCCTATTAAAGTTTAAATTTACTAATACAAAATTTAAAATTTATTTCTTTTTAGATTTATAAATATAATTCTCTTACTAATATTCATATTGTTGGAATTATAATATATATGAAATACAATCAGGAATTAGATCAATTTAATTATGTAAATTTTCTCTGTAAATTTATATAAGTATGTACATGGTAATCATTCAAAAATTTAATTTAATTTTATATTATATTAAAATAGATACTTGACTAAATATATGAAAATCTAACTATATTATTATATTGTACATTTTAACATATTTTCATTTTTCCTAATTTATTTTGGATCCAAGCAGCAGTTTATTCAACGTGGCAACAAAAATTTTCAGCGTCGACAACTCTGGAGTCCGGCGATCAATGAAATAGCAATCCTTATACCAATATCATGGACCAGGGTTTACAATGCACTGTGGATTCTTGGTGTATGTGTATGTGTCTTATGTTGTGATTTTTTATGTATTGTGTTATGAAATTGTATCTCAAGAGTATGAATTCTATATCTGAAACAAATTAGTAATTATGTCTAATCTTATGTTATGAATTTATGTATCTTGTGTTACGAAATCATGTGTCTATGATCACAAATTATGTACGTAAATCAAATTTGAAAAATAAGTAAATAGATAACATGTGTATGTGTCTTGTGTTGTGATTTCTTGTGTCTTAGGTTATAAAATTCTGTACCTTACAAGTATGAATTATGTAC